CTTTTCTGTTTCAACAACATCTAGTGAGGAAAATGATTTCAAGGGGATCAAGTGAACGACTCACTCAGAGCAACACGAAAGGCAACAGAGTAAAAAGAACCCCCCCCCCAAAAAAAAACCAAAAAAAACAAAAACAAAAAAAAAAGAAAAGAAAAAGAAAATAACCAAATACTAGCCTTTTAGCTAAAAGCCTCATGTTTTTAAAGACCTGTGGGCTTAGTTGGTATCAAGGAAAAATCAGAGATGCCCCGGCTTTAATACCTCAAGGTATTAATACCTTTAATTTAATACCTCAAAGTATCACATCTCAGTGAGGCCCTTGCTGGGGCCGGTATGGAGTTCATCCCTGGGAGGTGCATGTGATGATGAGGAAATTGAGGCAGAGAGGAGCCCAACGCTTGCCGTGTAGACATTTGGCTGGTCTTTGCTTTGACCTTGTGTGTCCCTGGGGCTATCTGGCTCTCTCTGGATTCAGATTTTTCCATAACACTGTGCCCTCGTTCCTCTGCACGATGACATCTTTTCACCATCTCGAAGGAGTTTGGTTTGCAAAATATCCCATCTGCCTGCCTTCTGGTTTTGAAAAGGCTTTGATCTTGATTCTGATTTTTAACTCTTAGACCACGGAAATGCAGAGAGTTATTTGCTAAATGTAGTGATTTAGCACCAGGACTGGAATGAGAGGGGAATTCCCAATTTCCAGGAGTAGGAGCAATATCCTTAGCACACGACTGCTAGCAGGTGCAAGAAATGCACGGGACTTCTTTCAGAGCGGTGTGATAATGAGTCAACTCTGGAAATAGCATAAGACACCTGAATAAATAAGGGAGGCTTCTCTTTCAAGATATGCTCACAAGACCCATCAAAAAGCCAACGGTGAGCAATGGGTAGCTGTGTCAACAGTCTCAGGGCACATATTCCCCTCAGCTGTGTCTGTCATCCCTCCATTGTGGAATTGTGGACTTCTTCCTCTTGTTGACTGATTTTATTTTATTTATTTATTTGTTTTTGACTGATTTTATATTTGAGATACGCTTAGCCAATATATTTCCTTGCCTCCTTCCCCAAGTGTCCAAATCCCATCCATATTATCACGTGCAACTTCAATGTTACTTCTTCTGGCAATGCCTAGGCAAGGCCAGGAAATAAAATTTTTCTGAATTCTCGAATTTTGTTTTCTTAGGTCTCTTGGCACATCACACATTCAGCTGCATTTATTTTTGTACATTTTGGATGTCTCTACTATATTAAAAGGCCAGTTGTCTTCATTTATTTTTATCTCCTAGTGGGCCCAGCAAAATATAATCTAATAGGCCTTTGTATGTGTGATATGGTGCATCACACATAAAAAGTGCCTGATGTTTCATCAATGTAGGAGTGAAAGGATGAAGGGAACAAGTGTAGTTGCCAGCCAGAGACTATTACTTTGTCTTGTTCTTCTTTTCTAATTATTTTTATTTTTGCTTCTAATATAGTGCCTTGAACACAGCAGATATTTTAGAAGTGTCTACTGATATAACTTCAAAATACTTAATGTTCTTTTAAAAATCAAAATGGCTTCTGTAAAGTCCTAAGAGAAACTGGAAAATACATTATTTTTCATTAATTTTTCTTAAAGGATGTGTTTTGGGAATTAGCCACAAATGAGTTTATTTTGCTAAGCCGAAATGCATTTTATAGTGATATAGAGAGCTTTGAGAGTAAATTTATGTAGATTTTGTTTCAACATACCCTGGTTTGGTCCCTGGCCTTATCATTTACTACCTGTGTAAATTTGGGCAAATTAGTTAACCTCTGCAAAATGCAAATTCACCATCTGTAAAACCAACAGTACCTCAAAGGTTAGTTATATTAAGTGGAAACTGTACAAACAACCTATACTATGTGCCTTACAATAAACACTAAGTATTATTTCTCTTCCTTTCCACCTTCTTTTATTCTTGACTTTCAATTTTCTTAAATACTAATTCTAACTAAAATGCGTGCCTTCATTTTGATTCCACAGAATTAAAGTTTGACACTTCTTTAAAATTTAATATGCACAATGTAATCCAAACTGAGATGTCTTGCAATGCATTAGGAAGCATCTAGTATTACTAGTGTTTTGGGCATCGTTTTTGCTTTCTCTCTTAGGAATATAAGATTTTCCTTCTTTTGGGGAGCTACCTTTCTCTGAGGACAGAGTAAGGGGATCATAATTTCCTCAACCTCACCCCTTTCCCATGCCCTATCCACTGAGGTAGACAGGTTTCCAAAAAGGGCTTTTTCTCTAGGATTTTCATTGGGTTTTCTGTAGGATATGAAGTGTGGATTGTAATGAGATCCTGTCCTTCACCTGTGAAGGAAGCAGAGACTCATGGTTGACCATCATGGCTTTCTTTTGGAGAAAGGAAGTCTGTAACAATAAGGTAGACCCATGGAAAGAAGGCCCAATTACTCACACATGCCCCACATTTGGTACTGTGGATCAAAAGTCTCCAATTTTGGCTAAACTAGCGTTGAGTACGATCTTCACATTCACGACCAAAGTAAAAAATAACCACATGTAAGCAGGGAGTTACCTGAGATTCATTGTACCCTGCTGCCTCCTCCCTGTTCAACCTCTTTAGTTTCTGACCCCAGGTAAATCACGGTGCCTACCAAGCGGAGCATTTAGGTCCAGTCACTGTATAACTTACTGGCTACTGTTTCAGTCATAGGCTGTAACCGTAACCTTGGCCAGGATTTGGTCAATGCTAGGATTTTGTATGGGAGGGGGGGTGGAGACCAGGTGGGAGAGAGTGGCAAGATTAGCATTTTCGGTGGGGTTGAACAAAAGACCTCCAAAGCGTATGTTTTGTTCTCAGTGAACCACTTGGAGCACAGTCAGTAGAAGGCCCGTTAAATTCCTCTGCTCTGTGTGAAGCAGTGTTTGTCAAAGCCACCTTGGGAAACAGTCCATGCTGTGGTGAAAGGGGTTCCTGACCAAAATCGACTTTACTGGATCCTTGGGTCTAAATTGCCCGAGGTACCAAAACTGAATAGCTTCTTAAATAAACACATCTTAAATTCAGAGGAATCAGGTTTCCTTTTTTGAAGGTCAATTTCCCCTTCTTTCTGTTCATTTCATCTTCTCTCTTACTTCCTCCTTTCTTCCAAACACCATTTTCAAGATGACTTTTAAGGTTAATGTTTTCACCTCACAGAAATATTTTTTTTCTCTTAGAAATATTTAAAATGCAGGAGAAAAAAGGAAATAAGAATCACTACCCTAATCGTTCCTTATTAATTTTGGGCACATAGTCTTCCAACTCTTTCTCTAGACAACAATATTTTAACACAATTGAAATCATAATGCATATCTAACTTGCCTCCTCTTCATATTTTCTTTGGACAAATCTAAGCATTTTCTCTTATTTCGTTTCTTCCTTCCTAATGCTTTGATATTAAAAGTAAAGGTGCCTTGAACATCTTAGCATCACATCTTTGATGCCATATTTCAGGAGACACAGAGCATGTCAGCATGTGTGTTGAAAGATTTACACCAAGGTGATCAGATAACTCAGATACTACACTTGACCCCATTTTTGTCTTCCTGCATATAGAGTAAATAAACTTTGAGGATGCATTATACTTTGATGTGATCGGATCAGAGATGACATCAAGTGCATTTACAGGAGTCGAATCAGATGTTAAGAGGCCTGATACCTGAAAAAAAATTATTGTTAGTTTCGGGGTAAAAAGGAAATCCATAAATAGAAAACTTAGTCGCAATTGCTAGACTTCCAGCTTTTTTGCACTGTTCAGGCTGAGGGCCCATCATTAATTCTGGCAAGAGTCAATGATCATTTTTCTGGCAGGCTTCTCTTGCACAACCTAGAGGATCTGCTTTGTCAAACAATAAAATAGAAGCACAGTAATTTGGCTATAAGGTTGACAATAACATAGTATTTCTCACTGTTTTAGAAGAAATGTAAAATACAAAGCAGTTAAAATTAAGACAACATTGTTAAGGAAGAGATTAGAATGCAATATATATGTGGCACTTTGACAACAGTCGTTCGCAGGCTCCTCTCTTCACCTGATTGACCAAAAGTCACATCCGTTAGCCCAGGGATGATGCGCAAAGGCAATTTTAGTTTCTGCCTAAGTCATCTGGTTACGCCTGTGACTCCTTATAACATTTGGCAACCTTTTCACTGAACTTTTGCAAAGAAATCAGATCAGAAAGCTGGTATCTTTGGAAGAATGGGGATAAATAAGAAAATATTGGTGAAATAGTTTATATCATTCACATTTAAAAGACCTGATTTGAAGCCAGCAGCAAGTGTGAGATTGCAGAAATGAAAGGTCTGTTTGGTCTTAACATTTTTTGAGACATAAACGCTGTGGAGGTTGACATGGGGGACAGGGGAGGCTGGATTAGGCATAACAGCAATACTATCAAAATGTTTTTATTTTGTATTTTTGAGACTGGAATTGATAAAACTTTCTGAATTTCCATCTTTGACAGGGTGGAGTTTCATTTCCAAACTAACAGTTATCTTTTACTTTGAGAACTCCATCTGTGACAACGGGAATAAAAGGGCTTTCGAGAAAACCAGTAAGAGCAGCATTTACCCTAACAAGATACAACTTCAGTCCCTGTCCTTTGGACTACAATGTGGTCTAATTGGACTAAGGCATTTACATGAGGGTTTGGAAATTATCTTACCCAATAGTTCTTAACTGGGGAACAGATTACAAGCAAAGTCTCTTTCTCTCACTGAGAACTACTGATAGAATCGAATTTTCTTTTATTTCAGGTGGGAAAAGAATGACCCAAGAGAATAGATCAATGCCCAAGGTCACCTCGTCATTAACGGCAGGATAGGACTAGGATAGAAGACTCTTCTTCCAATATAGCAGCCTGTCCACCTTATACCCAGAATTCACATGGACATTGATTGCAGCATAGAGGCCGACTCCTTAGCTTTGGTGCTGAGAACGTCTTTCTTTCTTTCTTTTTTTTTTTGAGAACGTCTTTCTATCCTCATCCCTTGAGGATATTGGCTCCCAGCCCTTAGTGTCTCAGTTTCTAAACTCTTTCCTTGACCAGGATTCAGCCACGGTGAAATTGGATTTATGTGTGAGATTACAAGTGGGCCTTACCTGATGGAACAATCCCGAATGATTGAGAGTGGTTGGGAGAGACCAGTACAACTCAGCAACCATGCCATATGCAGTTAATAATGTCCTCGTGTGCGAGAGGGGGAGTATTGGTCTTTTCACTTTGGGGTATTCCTTAGTCCCAGGAAATTTGGTATTTCTAGACCTAGGAGAGCCAGGCATTAGAAAGGTTTTTTGTTTTCCAGAAAATTTCACTCAAGTCCTTCCATAAGAATGGGACGTCTGACGTTTTTTAAGAGTAAGGAATCTAGTGTCTTTTTATAATTTGTACTAGTTGCCCTTCAGATGCTCTGATGGGATAGAAATGACATGATTAAAAGATAGTTGTTCCCTTCAGAACTGGACACCCCTATTGCTCCAGCCACCAATATTACTTACAAGTGTTTTCAGTTCATTTAAGGAAATATGCCCAGAAGTATACTTCGAATTATCCCTAATAATGGTGGTAGTGACATAAGAAGAACAAGATAAGGATATCCATGGCTAGTTTTAAAACTATATTTTCAATATTTATAATAACTTTATGAAATATTTATAGAAATGAGCTCATTAAAATCTCAAAGTAAAAAAGATGGCATTATGCAAGTTTGGATGCTCATAATTGCACCATTTGTAACAGCCCCAAACTGGAAATTTCTCAAGTGCCTACCAACAATGGAATGGATGAACTGTGGTGTAATCACAGTAGAATATTATAGAGCAATGACAAGGAAAGATCCACAATCAAATGCAACAATATAGATGAGTCTCAAAATGTAACACTGAGTGAAAGAAGCCAGAAGCAAAAAGAAAACATGCTAATTGATTAAAACTGATGTATGCTACTAGGAGTCAGGGCTGTACTCGTCCGTGGAGAGAAGGGGTGGTTGGAAGAAAGGACTTCTAAGGCACCGGCAGTGTTTTGTTTCTTAAAGGTGCTGGTTACAGGGCTGTGTTCAGCTAGAGAGAGTTCACTTTCTGAGCTGTATACTTACGTTTAATGGAACTTTTGTGTATATACTTTAATGACTTTTTAAACAAAGGTAAATGGGCCTTTTTCAAGAAGAAAACCCGCACTCATATTTGGAATAGAAATTCCTAATTTTCATTTTTGTTAGGAAATACAAGGATTTTGGAAGCACGCCCCTTTTGTAAAATGTCAATCCAGTAATGAAATTAGCCAAACCAGCCAAAAGGATGGGGAAAGAGAAGAAGACAAAAATCTCAAGAAACAAGTTCCTATCAGGGATGAGACAGTCCCCTCCCAGAACTCTATGTGAGTCAGGATTTTAGAAGCAGGTCTGTCCGGGGAGGGGAGGCCTCTCATCTATCTTCAGAAATGCACTTTCCAAAGCTAGACAGCTGGCACAACAGGCTTGGTGAGTAATGAGCTCACAATTTCAATTTATTATCAAAAAATTTCCATCAGATGACAAACCTGAAAAGATAAGGAGATGCAGAGCTACAGAGATGCAATATTGTCCTTTTATCCTAGCCACCTCAGGGACAGGGTTTATTTTGAAAGTCCTGCCTGTAAACCACAGGTCTCATATCTTTAGACAACTGTCCAATGGCAAGTTTTAACCCAGACTTTGTGCTTAAAGATTTTTATCAATATGATTTATAAGTTGAAAAAGTCTCAAATCTTTATCTGTACATCATTTTACAGATCTTGGTTCATAACTATTTACCTCTGTCGGAAATGTCAATATTCAATGAGTACCTACAATAATAATTACTTAGTCATAAATGTAGTTAATAATTAAATATAAAAATTATTATTTATACATTACTACAAATCTCTTAAAAAGATCAAGTTTTGAGAGAGAGCGAGAACAAGAAATTGCTTAGAAAATTGCAGGGAGCCTCAAGAACTTCAGTATCCGTGAAAGCAGGTACAATGAAAAACAGTTTCAAGACATTCATTTTAGCCCTAAGAGTAGCTTAAAATAAAATGATCTCAGAATGAATAACTGGTGATCGGCAAAATTGGTTTAAAATTACATTAAGTCCCAAGGCCCCAACATGTATAAGGATTCTTTGGAAGAGTTCTGTAGGAGCGGAAATGTTGCAAATAAACGTAAAAAATAATTAGTTAGGCTATGTGTTTTCAACCCTCATGCCACTGCTGTGTTTGGAGCCAACCGTATGCTTCAATCTCTTTAATCTCCCTTTGATTAGCAATCCCAGTCTACATCAAGTGGTTAACACTGTTTTTAAGAGACGACATCAAATTGGCAGATCATATGAGAAACAGAAATGAATGGTAATATCTTTAGAGATCAAGCATTATTTACACAGTGAGAAGTGATTGGATAGACGCCAGACCCCCCCTCCACACCTTTTCCAGAATAACCTAACTTCATTTCTAATATGATGCTCTCTCATCGCTGTGCACTACCCCCATGTAATTACAGTGACTTCTGTGTCCCATTTTCTCTCCCACAGGGTCCCCCATTTCTGTGGTGTTGGCAAGTCTAGCCAAGGGCTACATCGCTTTTTCTGAAGATCACCAAACTCGGCATTTCTTTTCTGGATTCATGTACGAATTCTTGCGGCAATGGAAGGCCTCCGAAAACTCAGGGGAGTTCTGCAAAGTCCCAATAATCCTGTGAAAGAAACAAAAGTCACTGTCAGCGTTCGATCCTTATGCCCATACGACGTAGGAGCTCTACAGAGTTCCTCTATGTGAGCCTACTGAGGGAATTTGGAAGTCACAGCTTGAGAGGAAAAAAAAAAAGGTGTACTCATTAACAGGATCTTTAATGGACAGGTAACAAAGGACAGGAGTTCAGAGCACAGGTTTTGAAGACCATATGGCTTGAATCCTGGTTATGAGTTGTATTTATCTAGCGTTTCGGTGCTTCAGGTTCCTTTTCTGTAAAATGCATATGATAATCGTGCCTGCATTTTACGGTTGTCACGGGGAGTTAACTTATAAACACCCTCTGCGTGTTGTAAAATAAATAATTCACATTCCGAATTGCAGTTGTTATAAGAAGGGTTTGGTCAAAGATAAAATCCTGATTTTTCATTAGATCTTGGAAGGGCTCAGACAGTAACTTAAACATAATAGACTTTAAATAGATACGTGTTGATTTGATCTAATAAGGAAGATCATTATTTTCTTTTTTTTTCCAACAGAAACTTCACAGATATCAGAAACTGGATTCAGCCGGAGTAAAAGGAAAGGACTGGCAAAAAGTCAATTTCTTCTTATCTCTGACCCCAATGGGCAAAAACAACACTGTCCAACCCACTGTGGGCACCAAGCAGTATTTGTGGGGAGACCTAGGTCAGGACAGTGATGCGGAGCTGATGTTTTCACATCCACCCCAAACCAGCTCCTTCCCTTCTCTCCACCACACCCACCTTAGGTTGGGAGGGAGGGCAGGGAGGCAAACACACTAGGGTGGTGGGAAGCCCTCAAGCAACTGGCAGGAGAGTATGTTCCAATTACTGAGATCTCTGTACGTGGCAGGTGTCCTAGGTATAAATATTTGCCCTCTTATCTCCTCTAACCCATTCTCCACACGGCTGAATGATCTTTAAAATTTAGATCAAGTCCCCTAATCCCCTTGTTTGATGGGGCTTGAATGAAATTCACCCTCCTTTCCATGGTCTCCAACGTTCTGATGTCTCCGGCCTACCCTCCCGGCCTCCTCATAGTACGTTTCTCTTCCTGTTTCTCATTAGGCTCAAACTACACAGACCTACGTTCCATTCATCCAACCAGCCGATTTCTTTCCCTCTTCAGGGCCTACTGCTCCTATAGACCCCACTCCCTGGAAAGATATTGCCCAGTGATGACATGATTTACTCCTCCTCAGAGGCTTTCTTCAAATAATGTCCCAACTAGGTCCTCCCACCTGTAGTAGTCCTATCAGCTTGCAATGATTTGTTCTTCTTTACTTCCTGACATTCACCACGCTGTAACCTGAGGGCACAGCACTGTGCATCTCTTGTTCCCTGCTGCCCCCCGCCCCCCACTCAAGCCCAGCACAGTGCTTTGTATATTGTAGGGCTCGGGACATACCTACTGAATACATGAGCCTGTCGCTGGTCATGGTGATCACAAGTATAGGAGGGATGGGGCATTATAAAGAAAAATGCTGCTTAGCATTTTTGTGTTTATTTGCTACTATGGACCAACTATGAGAAAAAAAAGCAAGCATTTCTTTTCCTCACCCCCATTCCAGGAAAGACAGATCCATATCTAATTTCTCAAAGGCTGACTTCCTAACGTGTCAACAATTACCACATCAACTATCTCTCAATCCTCAATATCACAACTTCCCTATCCTTCAGGGAGAATGTAAACTTGTGTGTGTGTGTGTGTGTGTGTGTTTTAGTATTCCTAGAGGAGTCCTAAAGATTAAGAGATATCTTCTTGGTATGGGAGTGTTGAAGTGGGGTGGGGGCTAGCGTTGGGGAATTTACATCTATTAGTCCACCTGAGATGGAGAAAGCTGGCCTCCCCAGTGCTGAGGAGGGGCCCAGTATTGGTGGGTTGTGTGAGTGACCAAGACGTGCCTCCCACACTGAACAGGGCCCTGAGAGGACCTCTGAAAGGATGGAATGTAATGTGGGGGAGCCTAAGCATCAGGAACAGTGAGTGGTTCCTGAGGCCCTTACCCACGACCACCAGAAGGAAATGGAGCCACCTGACTTCAGATAGAGCCCTTGAACTGCAGGGATAGCAGGAGTGGCCACGGCAGACAGGAGATGCAGGTTAATTCCCTAATTTCTGGGTCTTGGGATTCCTGTATGACTCTAAAATGGAGTATACTTAAACTACTAAAATTAAACTTCTTACCTCACTGCTTAGGGTGGGAACTTGGAATTGAATTAATTTTCTAAAATAATAATAATAATAACAATAATAATAATAATGTCTTTTCTTAAATCTGAAGGTTCAAGAACAAATTCACTTGATACTTGGCCAAAAGTGGTCATATATGTGGGAATAAAAATATTTTATTTTTAGTCATCTCTATACCCAACATGGGGCTCTAATTCACAACCAACCCCAAGATCAAGAGTCCCATGCTCTACTGACTGAGCCAGTCGGGTGCCCCAAAGAATAAAAAGATTTTAGACATCAGGTGTTTGTACTAGTCTTTAGTCTTTAAGTTCCTAGGCTCATAGACTCTATGACAGAAACTTTGATTTATTTAATTCAATCCCCTTTCCACTTGAGGAAGCCTTATGTCCTGGCTTAGTGACAGTCATCATGGTGGCCTGACGGTTCCTCAAATTGAGCAGGAAGCTCCCTGATGGACAGGGAAGGCATCTGAGAGCCACTGACTGGAAGAGCTGCACTTTTTTGTTTTCGTTTCAATAAACTTTTTTTTTTTTTTGAAGAAATGTATCCTAGATGTAATCATATGGAGACAAGTACTTCAGTAAAATGTCCAGACCCATGACTTAATTCTACAGTTGTCATAAAAACATTAGGGAAATGAAAAAAACCCAGACGCCTCAAAGAAGGGAAGTCTTCACAGAGCACCAATGGCAGTTAGCAACATCGCGACACTCAACCTAATGGCGCACTCAGCTCTCCATTTCCATTTCAGCTCTTCTCTTCCCATCCAAAGGCTTCACTCAGATAATTTGGTCCTGAATAATTAGGTCAACGTTATACCAGGATTTCGCTTACCTTCCCAGCACTCTAATTAAAGTCTTATTTTTCACATCAAATCTTTGGATGGATGATGTAAATAATCTATTTCAGAAAGCGGGTACATTATTTAATCAAATGAATCTCTCCTCTTAAGAGTGGGGTTATGTTTCATTAATATTACATAAGCGACTTACTTGAATTCCATGGTATATGAAAACTGTGCAGTATTTTATTATAACAGAAGATAAATGGCTTTTGTTGATTATTTCTTAAAGTGATTTACTTGAAATTTTTACTTTATTATATAAAATATTTTATTGTACTATTGTTGTCTATTCCTCTGGCAAATAACCACTTGTTTTAAAAACATCTGAGCAATATGGGGTTGAACATCAGGTGACCGAGAAGACTACTCCTGCCTGCGCTTAACTGGATTTTTTAATTACTAAATGAGCTTTTTGCAATTAATTGGTCTTCTGACAACCCTTTGTTCCTTCTTTTCAATGAATGACTTGGTTACAAGGTTAACAAGCTTCATTTATAAATAAACTATCTAATCTTTACCGTTAACTGTTGTTCATGATTTTGTTAATTAATGTAAGGTCACATTGATCAGCGTATGTCCCACTATAAATTCACAAAGAAATAAATGTCTGAATAGATTCCCAGATATGAAGATGAACAAGTGCTACAAGGTCCACCAAGATCCAAACTGACATTTACAAAATATCAGAAACTGAAGCTAATATTTAAAGGAAAGAGAGGAAACATTAGTATTTCAGAGGGTTTAGCATGCACATACTAAATCATGGAATAGTAGGGAACAAAATCACCATAGTGCTTGAAAATGTCTACATAACACACTAGAAAAAATATCTTACAAAAAGGACTAGGAATTAAGCTCTGGGAAAAAATGCCTTGCTTTATTAGTGGTGTTAGTTCTATAGAGCGTCCTTTTATTCTGCCTGGAAGATGATATTGAACAAATTAAGCATCTAAATTAGCACCTTTTCTGTTTAGGTAGCATACACACTGATATCACTTTGTCCCTTTGGACTAGCTTTAAAAAAATTATCAGATATATATTGTTTAGAAGTATGACGTCTGAATAACTTTAAAGACGCATTTGCAGATTATATGGTAAATATTAGCAGAACGGCCATTCCAAGTGACTGTGGATAGTTAACAGAAGCTGAATTTCCAAAAAGAAGCCATTTAAATTGTAAGTTCAGCTTCTAAAACATCAAGGGGAAATGTTTTTATTTTAAATACTAAAGTTTTAGAAATTTATCTAAAGTACATAAGACTTCAGATAGGAGGAATAAAACAATTACAACTCAGACCCAACAAGATTTATAGATTCAGCTTTATATCAAGTATATTTTTGCCTTCTGTTTTAATACTGTGGTATTTAAGTATAATGTTACAAAACCTCCCTCTATTTCAGAAATGTTTCTACAGAAACCACTATGCACAATTTCTCAATAGCGATTCAATGTGTATCAGTTTTTAAGGCTCTTCATAAAAAATGTTTTACTTTGTAAAGCCAGGAAGCAGCCTGTTTCCAAAACTAAATGAAACCTCAACCTTTTGCCAAGGAAATCCCTTTACCTCCAGAGAAAATAATAATTTCCTTGACAAAAGGTTGGCATTCCATTTACCCTTTTTAACAAAACAACACATACTTTTCTTACTATAAATGAAAAATAGTCAAAGAGGCATCCTTCACACCAGAATAAAGTTGCGAATAATTTTACATATTTTATAACAAAATAATGTGTATTTTTACAGATAGCAAATTTTACATATTTATAATAAAATTGTTTTCAGTTTAAAATTGAGAGTAGAAAACAGTTATGTATTTACCCACATATCATTTAACCAGTGATCAGTTACTGACATTCTGATCTGTCCAGACATAAGACATAAGCAACAAAACACCCTGTCTCTCAGGTAATAAAAACTGTTGCAAAGTCCAAGAATTTACTCATGAGGATTCTTATTCTGTTCATACTTATCTTATCTAAAAATAATCCTAGTACTAATTTTCAAACACATATATGTAAATAGGCACTTCTTCTATATTAACATAATCCTCTTAACAACTCTCATGATAATTTAATCCTAATTTAAAAAATCTAGAAACTGAGGGGATCCCTCTGTCCCGGGATGAGTCCCACATCGGGCTCCCAGCATGGAGCCTGCTTCTCCCTCCTCCTGTGTCTCTGCCTCTCTCTCTCTCTATGTCTATCATCAATCAATCAATCAATCAATCAATCAATCTTTTAAAAAAATATCTAGAAACTGAGATACAGAGGTTAAGTAACAGCTTATAAATGGCAAAACCATGGGTGGAACTCAAGTGTTTCTTACTTCAAAGCTTGCATTCATTCATTTATTTATTTATTTATTTACTTATTTATTTATTCATTCATTCATTCATTTCATTTATTTTTTAACCATGCAAGTCTAAGGATGTGCTTTCTGAGCTAATCAGAATGAAGATATGGGATGGCAAAAAGCAGGCAATGTATTAACAGAAAACAGAACTAGGGAAGAAATGAACCAACAGGAAAACCCTACTAGAGGCCCTACCTCTAGAAGAAGCCAGAATGAAAAGTCAAAAGAGCATCACCATATCCCCATTGGTGGCTCTGCAGTGTACGAATAAATAGCTCCTCATACTCTATCTTTTGAGGATTTCACTAAACTAATAAATGCTAAAATGTCAACTAATAGTCATAACAATAGTCTGTCATTTAAAAAACAAGGCTAGTTTTGTTCAGGATATGGTGATAATAAGCAATTATAAATATTGTTTTAAACAAGAAATTTTAATCCATATTAAGATAAAAAAGTAAAACCCAGGACAAATTTTAGAGCTATCAAAAACATTTTCAATTGCAAGCTCCATTTTCTCTGAAATATCCCAGGTGACCAGTATTATAAAATAATAATACTTAAATTCCATTAGTTTTTATGCACACACACTTTAAATCATGGATAAGGGAGGAATAGATCTTGACATATTAGATTGTTATCATGTTTATGTGAATTTATAATAATTGCCCTCTGTAATTGTCTTCAGAATTACATTTCCCTGTTTTTCACTTCTGAAGACTTCAGCAAGTAAAAACAACGTCTATAGCGAAAACAGAAAGTGTCTTGATAAACTACCATGGGGAATTGATTCCAGTGACCTTTTCCTGCTCATTATCAAAAAGAAGTTATGTTGACTAATCTAGCTAGCTGAATTTACCTTGATTACAAACTAATGGCATACGATAACATTGTTTGAGTAATGAAATTTTGAAATAACTGTTAAAGCAAATACAAAATGGATGGTGATTACCATGATGAGAACAAGCTGAAGTAAACCCTTTAATTGTAAATGTTCTAATTTGTTTGTTATCATAATGAATTTTTTTTTTTCCCCAGCATATGCTCCAGGCAGAGTATATTTATGTCTATTTAGGAAGTGGAGTTAAAAACACACCCTTGATTCTTTTTGTTCTCAAACTTTTCCAACCAAACCACGTTTCAAAATTTTAACTTTGTTTTTCCGAGTTTCCTGCCCTGAAAGTGTTACAGTAATGAAGTGTTACTGTATGTGGGAAGGGAGCACTATTAATTCAGTGCTAAACTGATTTATAGGGATCAGATTTATCATTTAAATGCTAGTTAAGTGATTCATCTCCGTACAATGCTTCTCTTAGATTTCTGGATCTCAGGACTTTGATACGTCTTGTAACTCAAATCATCCACTCTACAACATTATTCTCGTCATCCCTTGGCCGTGTTTGCTCTCCGACCTCTGCTTCAAGAACTCTCCCCCTGTAGATCTGGGGATAACTTTTAATGCTGGAAAGCCTGCTAATTACCTTCTAATTAAATGACATTTCTCTTAATGTTGAATCCAAATCTTTTTTTTGGAATGGCTCTCATGTGCTAGGACTAAACTTTTCATAGCCTCTTAAAAATGTCTTTGTGCTACCTTTAAATAGGGCCACTATTCCTGGCATCATCTTGGAATCCATCAAGCACTAAGCATAGGTCATATGCATTCTGAGGATAAGCGCAGTCAAGGCTATGATCATGTAAACAGGACAGTTACCCTGCTGTGTTCTGTTGATCCTATCCATGACCCTCAAAAGAAAAAAACAACACCTGGATTTCCACATTTTATAGTCAGAGTTAGAAAAAGCCATTTCCAAATGTGGAAATAATGGAGTCAATATTGGAGCACCTTGACTGCTGTTCAAACCCACGCACCTGAAATTCCCTGGACTGTGAACATCTGTTTTAATGGAGTTGACGGCATACTCTGGCCTGTAGGTCCCACACCAAACCTAGGGATACGAACAGAAAAAGGAAAGTAGTGTGCTTAGGTTCAAAGATTATTTGTATGGGCAGGCCAGCTTCCTACTGCAAAAATTAAATTGGAATTCTGCATTTCTCAATAATTTACTCTTCAAATAATGTTCAATGATAGGCAACCAGGGACATAATTACCATTAATATGAGCTGATAGTCTGTTACAAACAATGAAAATCAGTCAAGTCAAATGCTCCGCCACAACTGATTAACAAGAAAACTCAGCATGCAGTATCTAACTAACTATGAAATTATAACTCAAAATGATTTTCATATCTATCAATCAAGAAAGGTACAATACCTGGGCAAAGTTGAGGAAGAACAGCTGTTTGTGATTTAGGTCAAGTCCAGGAAGTAGTTTTTCTTCACCATTCTTTTTAACATAATTTTGATAGGCCTAGGCAGTTAATGAAATAGAAAAATGATGTTTATCATTTCTAAATTTATGTATAAACCTGAGCAAAAGACCATGCAGTCCAGTAATTAACCTTTTATATCAGGATCACCATAATAACGTATTTACACACGGCAACCTACATATTACAATTATTACATGGATTAGAAAGAAAACCAGAATTTATTTTACAAATGCTCTGAAAATGTCAATGGTCAATAAATGTCAGTTGAATGGATGGATGACTTAAATAAATGATTAAAAAAATTATCTAAATGCTGTTTTGTAGGTAGACAGGTAAGTCTAGCCAGTTGGAAGAATGGGTTGCCAAGGGAGTTAGCCTGGAATTGCCATATTTAGCTCAGTTACTACTCTTAGCAAAAAAGATTCACACCAGACTTTCAATGATTCATGCCAAAAAGTGAAGGGATTCCTTAAGAGCCCTTAAAAATTAGTATCCTATGATTCTAAGAATAAAGATGAGCAATTATTGTGGCACCCTGGAAGACAGGGCAAAATAGACTGAACCTCAGTTACATTAGGAATTTAGGTTACCTGAAGGTCAGAGAAGGGTCTTAATTCTTAAGGCTTTATGAATACTATTGAACAATAGTTTTCCTCTACTAAAAATATTTAAGGAATTTATGACAAACTTTTTGAGATGTGTTACTTCCAATTTAATACAAATGAAAGTGATCAATTAGATAAGCAGAAGATATATTTCATTTCCTCCTCCTTGCCATTAACATAGATTTATTGAGTCTTTATTATGTAAAATGTTAGGAACATGGGGAAGACCTGAGCCTGCTCCTTTCCAGAAAGTTTACAATCTAACAAGGGGACAGGGTATTAGATGTTATGATTTCATTATAATAAAATATTTACACACTTGTAATTTGCTTTATTATTACAAGTCTAACTTGTCTCAGGTGAAGCTCTTCATGGAAGTACCATCATCCCAGATTTTGGCTGCATTTTCACATCAATGATTTTTAATCTGTCTGAATATTAGAAAAATCATGGGAGTATTGAGAATGCCAATGTCTTCTACGTCCAGGCAAGATGAAGTGAGAGGGATTGGAGTTACCTTCCTACTGAAACAATCAAATGATGGACAAAATATCTGAAACAATGGTGTGCATGGCACTGGACATCAGGCAAAAAAAAAAAAAAGAGTGATCGCTCTGACATGGTAAACAAATAAAGTATTATTACTATAATTGCCCCAGCTTATTGCCTTAAGCATTTCCAGGCTACAATCTAAAGAAGAGAAATTTAGTTGGAGCCTAAGGGACTGTCTGAGTTGAGGAGAAGGAGCTGAGAGTTCAAGGACACAAAGGACAGGGTCCTAAGGAGGAGAAAGCTACATAGAAGAGGATCTCTAGAGATCAGATGGGCCCCTCAAGTATCCAGCTGAGTATGTAGGATGCATATGAGCACACTACCAAAGACTAGGGAAGGAATTATGAGAAAACATTAGAGATAAAAATACCCAGTACTCACAGAGGACAAAAATAGAAGACCTCAAGATTCACAGAGTAGGGTCTTGCCTCAGCATTGGAGAATAATTGTCCCTAGACTGAGCATTACCCAGTCCCACCTAACAAGTTGTAAAACCAAGGTCCAAAAGGATCAAACCATTTCTGAGGAATCTCATTGTGTCCAAGTATAAAGCTCAAGTACATTTGTAAGAAAACAAAAATATCTAGCACCCAAAGAGGTAAAATGCACATTGCCTGGCATCTAGAAAAGTATTACCACACATTCAAAGAAGCAGCAATATACCATCCCCCAGGACTTTGCTGGGACTCACTCTTTTGGAAAATTTTCAGGCAGTTTAATTTCCCAAGCCTCACACTTTGATCCTTGGTCACTGCCAAGTCACAGACCCTACCAGTCATCTCTCCCACACTGCTCTGAAACTTCCCCTTTCTGGCCCAACCACGGAGGCCCTCCTTCTTCCTTCTAACCCATACATTTCTTTTTTTAAAAAATATTTTATTTATGTATTTGAGAGAGAAAGAGACAAAGATAGCAAGGGAGAGCACAAGCAGGAGAGGGAGAAGCAGGCTCCCCACTAAGCAGGGAGCCCGATGGGGGGCTCCATCCTAGGACCCTGGGATTATGACCTGAGCTAAAGGCAGCTGCATAGCCAACTGAGCCACCCAGGTGCCCCTAACCCATGCATTTCTATGGTAGACAAATAATCCTACATTCTCATCCATTGCATACAACATTCCATTCATCTTTGTCTTAAAGAAGCCTGGTTCTGTCCTGGGACACTTTGTCCCTTGTACCTTCTCAAGTAGATGCTGCTCATTGTCCCACATGTGAGCTACCTCAGGGTTGGGAGAAACACTCAAAATACTCTCATTCCTTCTTGTTGCTTCCAAGACCAGTACTCCTCTACTCTTGTGAAAAATCCTTACTTTTTCTTGTGTACATGGCATCAACTAGACCATCCTTTAATACCTGCTCTAATCATCAGATAATGACATATTTTATGGAGGATTCACACTGTATCTCTAGCACTGAGAATAGTACCAAAAACACAGTAAAGTCCTCAGCAAGTATTTGTTGAAAGCAAGAACGAATGGAAGGCTAAATGAGATTCTAAGGGATGTTCCAGCAATATGCTCCTCTGGGCATAATAGTCTAGATGACTATAAGGCCATGTGCTAGAGCTGTATCACTTCAGTCCCTCACTGAATCATTGTAACTGTCATGCTGATTATGGTTCCCAAATATTGCTTCACCTGCTGTGAAACAGCAGGGTCCTGAGGGTCTTGTTTACTACACCAATCAATGACTGAAATGCTTTCGACGAGACACGTTTTCTAAAACATTTACTTCAGAGCTTATTTCTTAAAAAAAAAAGTTGCTTCCTCTGTGGAACTTGCATGTCTCCTCATTTCTGCTGATATGGTTTCCTCTTCTCAGAAGCCTAGATTGTTCAGCTCAACCATAACCATGTTGCCCTTTCTAGTTAACATACTTACAATTCCCTTTACCCCCATGTGTTTTCTACTTTCTATTTATTGTTCATTGCCTACATTATATGTGCCATTTGCAAAAGGCTTTAAATGAATAATTAAATATGAGAAATAAACGTTCCAACCACTAAAATGGGAAAAAATATTATTACTCACTCTGTATGCTTGGCCAATACCTCCATTATCAGCAATATTTTCTCCCAGTGTATTAATCCCATTGAGCTGTTAAAAAACAAAAGATGCTTAAAGGTCCTTACTTACATTTGGATTGTTAAGAAGGATCAACAATGCACTTAAGAGTGGATATATCTATTCTTCAGAAAATTAAAAATAGAAATATTATATGATCCAATAATTTCACTACTGAATATGAAAACACTAACTTGAAAAGATATATTTACTGCTGCATTACAACAGCCAAGACATGGAAGCAACTTAAGTGTCTATGGCGAGACGAATGGATAAAGAAGAAGGGAAATGTGCACACATATGCACAATGGAATATTACTCAGCCATAAAAAGGATGGAATCGTGCCATTTGAGACAAATGGATGGACCTAGAGGGTATTATGCAAGTGAAATAAGTCAGACTGAGCAAGACAAACACTGTACAGCTCCACACATAAATGGAATGAAAAAAAATGAATAAACAAAAAACAGAATCAGAACTATAAATTACAAAGAACAAACTGATGGCTGCCAGAGGGGAAGGAGCCGGGGGATAGAGAACCTGGGTGAAGAAGAGAGGGAGATATAGGCTTCCAGTCATGGAATGCATAAGTCATGGGAATAAAAGCAGAGCGTAAGGAACACAGCCAATGACATTGTAATAGTGACGTAATGGGATAGATGGCAGCTGTATTTGCAGTGAACACAGCACAATGTATATACTTGTCAGATCACTAGGTTGTATACCTGGAACTAGCATAACATTACGTATCATCTATACTCAAATAAAATAGAGCAGCAGCAGCCATAACGACAGCAACAACAGAGTAAATATACCTAAAACATTCCAAGAGAATGCTCACATACATGCTGTCCACCTGCTAGGTCCCAGGAGAAGTTTCCATACTGGTACACCATGCATTGGGATTGGTCTTTAAAATTATTTGCCGACTGTTGAGTCCACCAGTCAACGAGGTCTCCATCCTTGTTAAAATTTCTGCCTGAAATATAACGATTTAAGTAAAAGGGGAACTCATTACATCAAGAATTACACTACGGTATCTTTAATTCAAAAGGCAAGGACTGAACTATGAGTGTGTGAGAGAACACTCGACTGGACAGGTAATGGGAGGATCCGCCCCCCCCCCCTTCTCGTCCTGCATTGACGAAACCTGGACCGTGAGGGTCTGCTGTGCTGATGCACCTTAATCTGGATCCCGGCATCATACCCACGTGCTTCCCGGTAGCTCAGCCAAGGCCACCCGCTCAACCACTCCTGAAACCATGCCTTGTTTCTCTTGGATGGTTTTCATATGGACCAAGTCCGTTTAATTTGGTATTTTGAGATTGAAAAACACTATTTTTATTCTGAATTCATTTCATATCTCAAACCCCTCATAAGGCACTGTAGACTCATAGTTTCTCTCTACTTCGAGCACAAAGAATTACCATTCCTCCTGGAGCTTTCCGGCTCACCCTAAATACCTTGATCTTTCCCTTTTTTGAGCTACAGTGGTATTTGTTATATGCTATGTTTTAATACTTCAGTTTATCAGTAGTTATTAAGTAGTTGCTTATGATGTGGTGAATGAGAAAAGGGCTACGAAGACAAACTCCTTGAACTCACACCCTGATTCCACTAATTCCTAGCTTTGTAACTTCGAGTAAGTCATGCGCCTCTACTTTTTTCCATTAAAAAAATTGGAAGTGGTCTCAGTACCTACCTACTTGTAAAACTTATTATATACTTGAGTTCATAGACACGTAGTAAGTCCTTTTCAAAATTGTATCCTTCTTGTCACCTTTTCTTTATATGGTTCTAAAGTTTAGTCTAGTGAAGGCTTAATTACTTTCTATTTTTTTCTTCCTATCTTCTCTCCACTTGCAAACCAATTTTTGTCATCGCTTCAGCTATCACTTCTCTATGTATCTCGTATCTTTACTTCTATGCCTCTCAAACTTCACTGAAACTCTAAATCTCTTTTTGCCATTTGAGGCAGTGTACAAACATTTAAGTGCCCACTATTTGCAAGGCCCTGAACTAGGTAAAGGTGCAAAAAAAAAAAAAAATTCTGTCCATAAGCAGTTTAAAAGTCTTAGAGGTACCTTACTTTTTGATCTTACATCTGATTTTTAGACATGGACCCTGTGCTCTAGAAATCTAGATAGATAAGACATAAGCAACCATGAAATAAGACCACACATTACCACTGGTGTTAACAAACATCACAGTGTTTTCTCAGTGTGAATATTTGTGTCATTCTGTCAGAGTGCAAAGCACACATTGCTGAACCCCACCACTAGAAATTTCTGGTCTTCCTGAGCAACAATTTAAAACGAACACTAAGGGGGATCCCTGGGTGGCTCAGCGGTTTGGCGCCTGCCTTTGGCCGGGGGCGGTATCCTGGAGTCCTGGGATCGAGTCCCATGTCGGGCTCCTGGCATGGAGCCTGCTTCTCCCTCCTCCTGTCTCTGCCCCCCCCCCTCTATGTCTATCATAAATAAATAAATTAAAAAAAAATAAAACGAACACTAAGAGCCGGATTATTAGCCAACGATCCCCTGATGACTAAATGTGTTCATGCAATAATCAAGTATAATAACTCCATTCAGGTCTACTAGGATGTGTCTCAGCCTAAGGAAAGTGTCCACTGAACTTTACCATTGTCATCGAAGCCATGGGTGATTTCGTGTCCTATGACCATGCCGATACCCCCGTAGTTCAAGGAGTTAGACTGCTGGGCACTGAAGAAGGGGGGCTGCAGAATGCCAGCTGGGAAGACTACAAAGAAAGAAGATGGTTAAAGATGAAGTGTGGCATCCTTCAGTGATGGCAGGCCTGGGCTGGGCTTTCTGCCTGCTAAGCTATTTTCCAGTATGTCAGTTTCACTTAATTGTACACAAAAATCATCTGGGTGATGAAACAAATGCAGGTCTTTTATGATTGATGACAACAAGGAGTTCATCCCAAAGCTGCACCGTGATCTATGATTTATAATCACAATTCACTTTACAAACTTGGCTAAGATTATTTTTTGCTGTAAGGAGTTTAGAAGGAGGAGAAATCATCATCTTCATTCGGAAGGACTTTTCCCCACTGCAAATATTTGGGAGAAATGGTTATTTAATAACACAAGTATTCCTTTAAAAAAATAACACAAGTATTCCTTTTAATGTCATCTCTAACATTTTATCCATCTACAATAGCTCGTTAAACAAACAGAACTACTCCATCAAAGGCATCTCTCAATCACATTGCCGTATGTTATTTTCAACAAGGCATCTATGGCTATTTATTTCCTTGTTTTTGGTTGTTGTCCTTTTTCTTATCACCTTTATCTGCTCCAGCGCCTCAAATATCAGACGTTTGGGAGCAGGGATTTGTGTGTCCATACATACATTTGTTTGTTTATTTGTTGAGTCCATTTTTGTTTAAAAATTATCTCAAGCACCTAAAACTAGAATGGTGCCTGGAACAGAATAGTGCTTAGGAAATATGTTGAATAGGTGAATAATCAATTATGAATGGTGAGCAAATGAATTTACTATGGTGTCCTAGAGACTTTACTAAATAAATACAATTATTTTTATGACTACCCTGACATCTGGATTAACTTGCTAGCTTTCTACACTTGAATGTCACACAGACTTTAAAGTTCATGTGTCAGACATCAAAGTCATCATTTTCCCTTCTAAGCCATCACTCTCTTGACTTTATTTCTCCTAATGGCATTTGAAGGGTCTCAATCACCTGACATGAACATTTCATTTATCTTAGATAGCTTTTTAAAAATTTTTTAAATATTCATTTATTTGTTTGCTTTTTACAAAGTCTTACACAGTCTACTTAGGAAAAGACCAGGTCATGTACCTTCCTTCCAGGAGCATCTCTTCCAATTATCTCTTATGGTCTTATTGCCATCCTATCACTTCATATTACCATTCCTTGTCTTAAGAGTCACTTAATTTCCTACATGATCTTTCTACTTCTTGTCTTGCCCAACTATAACCCATCCTAAACCTAATCCATACTCCAGCCTGAATTAAAGTACAACTCTGGTCATTATCACTCCCCTGCTCAAAAGCTTTCCAAAGGGTGGTTTTGATGCTTTCTAACTAAATACAGCATCTCCTTCCCAGCCTTTGACTCCACGGTCCTCTCCTCCTCTCATAATGCTCATAACTTAACAATTTCATCTTTCATGTTTTAAAATTCTAGTACCTACTGAATTATGTTCTGTAATTTAAAAAATCTTTAGTATCAACACCTATTGCAATGTAAAACCCTTAAGGAATTGCTAAGTGGGATTCCAGGAATACAAGAGAAGGGCCTTGACCTTACGAAATCTAAGATCTAGTTTACAGAGTAGCAAATGTTGTTTTTGTTTTTTGTTTTTTAGGTGGGGTGAATGTGGCAGATCCTTGCATGGATTTCAAAGATAAATATTAGATGTTTACAGAGGAGACTTTAAAAAGATGCTGGACAATTTAAGTGCCCTCCAGAGCTTTAAAAAATCTGGAAAGTTGCCATAGCATCCAAAATGACAAAATAATTAGAACATAAATACTTCTGTCCTTGGAGAATTTTGATGAAAATTACACCTCACATGTAGCTGCCTGAGTTATCAACAGTGCCAAGAAATTATTTTTAGCTTAAGGTATTAAAATTATGTGCAGTACTTTATTAACTTAAGGTGAATACTATCTCCCACACTATGTACTTTGATTAAAATCCACCCTTTATATAAAATGCTCTTATGAAACGTGCTATCAAGACTAAACATTAACTGTAAAGATCCTACCACTTTAATTATACCCTGATATGTCATTCTTCAGGCAAGTGATAAGATTTTTATGGCTCATATTAAATACTAGTCTTCAAATTCAGCTTTGCAATTTATGATTTCTCCTTTTACACTGTCAGCCAAATCTCAATGATGATTTTCCCCTTTAGCTTATTGAGGTTACTAGTAGACTTCACAACTGTCAATAACAACCAACTACTTAGTTGTACTTTTTTTACATTCATGATTGTCAACAAGTCAGTTAATTAAGTAAGTCATTGATCCATGAAACAAAAAAAAAATGTGTTTCTCCCTACTCCCATGCCCTCCCTTCCCTGGTTTAGTTTTTTAAGGCTGCATGCAAGCAATTCAATTTCAGAAACTTTGATATAAAGTTCGATGACAGGTAAAATCAATTTGGGGTGGAAAAAAGTTCAATATTATTATTTTTTACATTAAATGGAATATCAATAGGTTTGGAAACATTTACTCTTGATTTTTAAGTCTGAAAATAAGATTCCTAAGAACATGGAGGGTAACGTTAGAAAATTTAATTATTTCAAGGTAGCTATACACCACTCAGGCTGAATATATTAAATAATCCTTGGAAGCTTTCTGGAACTCAATAGAGCAAATGTATGGGGAAAAGGAGACAGTGAATTAAATACTTTTGGATGCTTTCCTCTCCAGGAAGTTGATTTTTTTTAATTGACATAAAGTGGCAGGGGTGCATAAAACTTAGAATAGTCTGCCTATATGAGTTATAACAAAAGGTTGCTGCAATTGAATTTAAAAAAAAGAAATTATTAATATGAATAACTCCCTATATGATAGTAAAACAACTTTTTTGCCATAACATAGAAAGGCCAATCCCAGGAAAAATTGTACATAATCTAAGATATTTGTGTGAGGAAGGGAGGATCATTTATGAGACATATGTTATTTATACCAATTCTAATTCTGTAATGCATGGTATGAAAATCAAAATTTGTATATCTATGTATGTATACAGACAGGCACACATGCAAGCACACATACACACAAACACAGCCACACACTCACTTCTATCAAGAAGAAGGATGGAGGTCTGGATCTCCAACTATTTTTAGTTAAGACAATCCCCACTTTGAAGATTTAAATGAATTGTCAAAGAGAAAATGTACACATGTCAAAGATTTCTCCTCTTGCATGACACTTTCCCTTCCTCTGAACTGCTGTTATTAGCAGACAAGCATATGAAAAGACATGAACAATTTTTCAGATTTTGAATTTCTATCTGACAAATTTACCTTGAGAGTCTTTAAAAGGCCTTTTTTATTAAAAATGCTTATTGTAGCCAATTTTTGATTATTTGGAGGATAACTATTTTGTGAAAAGTTAGGCCCTTTTTTACCTTCTTTTTCCTTTTGCTGTGTGCTTCTTTGGTTTGAGGGTATTAAGTTCAAATTGAGAACATTCTCTGGTCTTTTCTGATCAGGGAATATCTAAAGTGAATCGATTTAGAGCCCACTTCAGAGTTATGGAGTAATTCAGAGCCAAACAAGGTACTGTCTTGACCTAAACTCTGTGGATCTGCTCTAGAGAGGGGCTGAAGGGATGAACATGCCAAAGTGGTCCTACAGAGGGTCCATATGGGTCTTCTTGTTGAAATGAATCAGCACCAGATCTGATAGGATCCAGGGTCCTTCCTGAGCTGGTTTAAAATGAAGCTATATCCCTTACAGTCTACCCGAATACAGAACAAAGGCCAGGCTGTCTCTATTTGCCTTGGAATTCCATTAAAAGGTCATTATCCTATTTAAGTTCACATCTAGAATGAATTAGATCTTACACTGACCGAACTACTAAATATCAAAAACAGGTCTTCAAAGTTGGGGTTCCTGCGTTGGGGTGGTTGATTAAGTATTAGACTCATGATTTTGGCTCAGGTCATGATCTCAGGGTCATGAGACTGAGCCCCACCATGCTGAGTGTGGAGCCTGCTTAAGATTCTCTCTGTCCCTACCCCTACCCCACACCTACATGATCATGTGTGCAGGCTCTTTCTTAAACAACAACAAACCCAAAAAACAAAGTGAAGGCTCTCCAGAGAAAGGCACTTCTAAGGGTCTGAATGGTTTCTAGGAATGCATTGCATTCTAAGTTGATCATTAAACAGACTCTGGTCTGAGCTTAGGTAATCATTGCAGTAGCTAGGAAATGTATTAGCTTAGACTTTGAGCAAATTGATTTTAACAGGTACACATGCCTTACTTATTGTTTACATGTTATGTAAAGAAACTTTTCTGATTACTTTATATAATGTATTTTCATGTCACGTACCAAAATCAGTTCCAGATGGATTAAAGATTTACTCCAAAAATAAAGACCATAAAAATACTAGAAGAAAATGCAGATAATTTCTTACTTCAGCTCTTCCTGTATTTAAAAGCAATTGGGGAAACCTATAATCAAATTTTAAAATAAGGGTTATAATTTCTTTTAAAGTTTGTTTTTTAGCTAGTGATAAAAATCTTGCAGTATTTTTCATCATCTTTAATTAGTAACAGAATTCAAGAAAAATGAGGTTTAGGGCAGACTTCGAGAGGTTTATTTTAGAATAATGCTGAAATTATCTTCCCTTTTGATCCTTGACTACACTTAGAAATGAAGGGCTGGACTAGGTGCACCTGGAGAAGCTGATTGTACTGTTTGTTTAGTATGTCTCTGGTAGTACTGAATCTGTTGGGTGCCTTTCAGATCCTTGGCGGGAAAAATGAGTCTACTTATGTAATACTTAAGAAAGAATTTAAAGATCTCAAGTTCTTCTCAGGAGGAGAATCAATATATTTTTGTTATATTAGGCCATTTAGTTATTCATTATATCCTTCACTCATGTATTTATTTCTACACATATTCCTATAATATCACTAATAGTGAACATATTAATTTTTTTTCTTTTTTGATTAAAAGTAGCTAAGTAAATGCAATTCCACATGGTTCAACCAAATATAACTGACTTTTCAACTTTCTAGACCATGGGAGTTGTCTAGAAAAATAGGTGATACAAATCAGGACCATCCCCACTAGAGTCAGCATACAGAATTGCCTGGAGAACTGGATATCTGCAAAGCTGGTTCTTGGAACCTTAAACCTCTTTAAGTTGCTGATGCTTAGAGAGTCTTAAAGTCAATATGACTTTATGAAGCTGTAAGAGATGTTTAAAAAGTATTTAGAAATAAAATAAAAGCACTTAGACATAAATAAGATAAACCACTTAGCCACAAATGAGAACATTGCAAAAGAAAGAAAACCACTTAGTGTAATTTGTACTAACTTAAAATTTGCTATTATAGTGAAAAGAGGTACATGGATGCATTTACTTTCAAGGAGTATATTCAATAAATCAATAACTCAGCCTCAGCTGTGCTTTTATGGGAACACTATAAATTGGTCATGCAATTCACTGTAAGCTGGTAACAAAGGGAAATATTCAAGAATTATTTAGGAATAGGCCTTACCTATCTGATTTCTGCCTGAAGAATAAAATGCATTGACTACAGCTGCTCCGCTTATCCACCTATGGAAAACATAAGAACTCGTTACAAATTATACTCTTATTATTTGATTCAATCTGCTCACCACAATACAAACAGTATTACTATTCCAGGATGAATATTAACTTTCTGTTTGAAATATGATAAACAAATTAAAATTAGCTCACTATGTGAGACATCTCACTTGAAAGTATTTCTACTTCTTGAAGAATCAGAATATATCCAGGTCTGCAATCCGTTACTTCGCTTGTACAAAACCTATTCAGATGTATCTTTCTGGAATTGCAATGGATTAATATTATATTGAAGTATGTTTACCTTTGTGTTCCTAATACTACTAAATATACCAACAATTCTGGAGCAGGTGACAATACTGAAGTACAAGTTGTCAAAGCTTTAGATTCATGTATATTTAAATTTTAAAAAAATTTCCTAGTTTATTTTAACACTTATATACCTTTTGTCAGGTAGTTTCAGGTAATCTGCCTCTGATTACTGTCATCTAAAACTATTTCTTGGGATCCCTGGGTGGCGCAGCGGTTTGGCGCCTGCCTTTGGCCCAGGGCGCGATCCTGGAGACCCGGGATCGAATCCCACGTCGGGCTCCCGGTGCATGGGGCCTGCTTCTCCCTCTGCCTGTGTCTCTGCCTCTCTCTCTCTCTCTCTGTGACTATCATAAATAAATAAAAATTAAAAAAAATTATAAAAAAAATAAATAAATAAAAATTAAAAAAAATAAAACTATTTCTTTAAATGCAGCAGCATTCCAGCTTAAGTGATCAAAGGTATGCTTTCTTATGACCACTACAAAATGAAATCCAGGTGGTTCTTTAAGTAGATTTGTCTGTCTGTCTGTGGCATACCATGACTTAGTCTCTGTATAGAATTTGGAGATTCCATAAATACAATTCCTGACTTCAGAAGACTAATTTAGTTAAAGATGAAAAAGCATAAATACTATAAGACTAAACGAGAAAATGGGGAAAAAAATGGTTCCCAGGCAATAGTTTGAGGGTAGTAGTAAGCTAAATAGGTGCCAACATTCCCATATCTTTCTGCTCAGATGTTATGATGACAGCATAACAATAATCATTGTTGGAATATTAGTCAGCTTTAAAAAAGAATGAGATCATGATAGAGAGAATTATGCTAAGTGAAAGATGCCAGGCAAAGAAAGACAAATATGAAATATGATTTCACTTTTATGTGAAATCTAAAAAACAAAACAAATGAACAAACAAAAAGCAAAAACATACTCATAAATACAAAGAATGAACTAATGATTGCTAGAGAGGAGGGGTGCAATGGGTGAAGCAGAGTGGGAGTTACAGACCAGTTATGGAATGAGTAAGTCACAAGGGTGAAAAGTACAGCATAGGGAGGACAGTCAATGGTATTATAATAGAATTGTATGGTGACGGATGGTGGCTGCACTTGTGGTGAACACAGCAAAATGTAGAGAGTTGTGGAATCACTCTGTTGTCCACCTGAAGCTGATGTAACACTGTATGTCAACTATACTTCAATAAAATAAAAAAAACAAAATCATGGTTAAGTACTTTTTTTTGCAACAAGAGTAATATCCCCCCTATCTTAATAGACCATTACATAAACCTTTATACAGTCATTGATAAATGGACAATGCTTGACTTCAAATAACCTTTCAAACATCAGCAAACATGCATACACTTGAGAACATCCTATATTATTAGCTAACGGCCTCACTGTAGTTATACCACTTTCAGGGCAACAATTAGTGGGCAATTATTATCCTACTCATGGAAGGAGTTTACAGTAATTAGTACAATGGGGTTAAATCAGAACTGTTTCCAGACCCTGCTTTGCAAGGTAAGCAGTACAAAGTCAGCTGCCCAAATCAGCATTTTAGCTACAATTTCAGTAACTATTGTGGGATGTCAGATGGGAGTCCTATTTTGATCTCTTAAAAGGAACTGAGAGAGGACCATATCTAAAAACTGTCTGATAAATTCTAATTAAGTATGGGTTTTATCTCCAATAACATGACTAAGACATTCATATAAAAAATTGGGGAATTAAAAAAAAATCTAGAAAACATCTCCGTAACTTTTTCTTTAGAAAGAAATTCAGTTTGAAGACACGAGGGAGATTTAGTTTGGTGTCATTGTCATTTTAAGCAGAGAAAACCTTTTTCAAACAAGATGGTGTGACTGATATATCAGTTTGTCCTAAGTTCATCACCGTGGAGTCATCAGTATTTTAATTTCTTGCAGGTTGAGGATTAGAAGCACAATAGTTGTATTTATTTTAACTCAGCTCCACTTGATTCCCACATGATTTGTGACAACTCACAAAAAGAACACGCAAACCCAGGTGTGTTAAGACTAAAATCAAGAGATCGGGAACTATATAAAACAAGTAGATTTTGTCTGCATGACCAAAAAGTATTACAAAAGGAAATACTTACATAAGTAAATATCATGATCAGGAAAAATGATTTATCAGGACCATGTTTACATATATTCACATAGCTATTACGACTTAGGGTTCAAATATGGTTCTAAGGTGTCTGGCAGGAGGGGCAAAATGGAAAATGTGCTCACACTACCCCTGAGGAGAAACACCATTCCTTACAGTGACTCTTCAGGAAAGCGTTCCTGTTGTGTCCTCAACATTTTGAAAACAAATATGGCAGGAGATTTCATGTATAAATAGCTTAATATGATTAATTTTAATTGTCATAAAATTGATTTGCTTCCAGGTCTCTGTTGTTCTAAGGTTCACTTTCTCAGTTATGAACTGATTTAGTGACAGCATATGCTGCATGGACTTTTACAGGTAATCACAAATAATATATAAATTGTTTGGTTCTGAACTCAGGCACATGCCACAAATGAAAGACAAAATGTGCCCATCCAAAACGTTTTCTTAAAACAAGTATAGTACAGAGGGGAGGAGTTAGATACACGACACTAATGTTTCAGGTGGCAACAAAACTTGAAAGCAGGGCATAGATGAAGTTGATAAACCCTTCTCATGTTTATTCCTTTTGTAAAAATAAATGTCATACCTTTGTTTAGTGCTTTTCTGCTCTTCTGTTATATTACTTTGAGGTGCTTCAGATTGCTTTTGATTCCTGTTTATAACTCCAGGAGGGAGTGTTTTACATATTAAAATGTCCACAGTGAATTACACTTTCTTTCAAGAAAAATAGATAGCTATTTATGACCACAGAACTCTCAAATAATACTGGAATTATGGTGGTTAGTTTCACAGAGCACTAGTACACTGTAGTGTTTGCCGTTTCTTCCTTGAGAACTTTCACGATGCATCATTAGACCCCCCTGGGGTGATTACTCAGATTCAAAAGCACAGGGCATACTGTTCCTGGGAATGACAGGAACTTGAAGTACTATGATTGAATCATTACACCTTTTTATTTTTTTCAAAAGATTTATTTATTTGAGAGAGAGTACGTGTGCACCTGGGGGAGGGAGGGGCAAAGAGAGAAGGAGATAGAGAATCCTTAAGCAGACTCCCCGCTGAGTGGGGAGCCTGATGCAGGGCTCGATCCAGGGCTTGATCACGGGACCCTGAGATCACGACCTGAGCCAAAACCAAGAGCTGGCCACTTAACTGAGTGATCCATTCAGGCACTCTTGGATCATTACATCTTAAATAAAATGATGATAACAGCTCCAGGTTTAATGGTCAGTCATGAACTATCTCACTATGTTAACGTAAAGTTAGGGCAAAGAAAATATTTTTCAAGTCAAATGGTGACGTAACAAAACCTATATATTGTTTTGATTTGGATGCAGCCTCAAAGTTTCAGGAAAAGCTTCCATTTATGGAACACAGTAAATTTGATGCTGAAGAGCAACACAGAAAAGAGAAAAAGCACAACAGAAGAGAAAAAACCAAATGGTGGTGATTCTTGCCCTAAAATAATGGAGAGTGCAGGTTACCTGAAAATACCTTTCAAGTCCAGCTGGAGGCCAGACACTAGCAGCCACCTGGAGCAGGTGTAGGCCCTGAGAGATGAAGTAGTATCCTGCTCTTTGATTTTTCTTCCAGCCTCCAATGGTCTCTGTGTGTAAGAGTTCGTGTGTGTGTGTGTGTGTGGGGGGGGGTATTCAGTGAAGAGTAGGAAAGCAAGAAAGAGGAATTTTTTTTTTTTTTTTAATTTTGGAGTCATCATTTTCTCAAGTAAACTTATTCTTGTTTGGGGTCATTCAACAGAACAGAAAGAAGGGCCGCTCTAAGCAGCACGGCCCTCGAAGCTGAACTAGCAGGGTGGATGGGAAAGATGACTGAGACGCCCTTGAGAGGGGCACCAGGTGTTTCTCCTCTATCTCTTATTACCCTGAAGAACCCAGGCGGTGAGGCAATGAATGCACAAAGACATCATTTTTATAGCAGGGAAGAAAGGCAGAAGTCAACAGCCTGATCCTGCTGCCTTTTGGGATGTAATAAATCCACTGGATTGCAAAAGCACCTGGAGTGAAACTCCTCTTTCACCCACTCATGTGTAACTTTCAAACTTAAAACAACAAAATTGTTAACACCTCCTTCCCTGGAAGTGTTCACTTTCCCAGCATCTTGTGATCCCAGAGCAACTCCTTTAAAGCCAGTAGTACAAAACAGTGATTTTCTCTATCTTCCTCAAGTACTCAAGGAAGGAGAATTCTCATTTTGCAACTGCAATAACCACCAGAACCCTTTACATTTATTAACATTCTCTCACCAAGACTTCTGAGTTTCCTATATGCCTTCATTCCTCTTTCAAACCAGTCATATAGGAGAGATGACATCTCCAGTTTGCGGGTGTAGAAACGAGGCAGGCTTTTCTGACCTTTTCCTGATAGTCTTACAAACTGAGCGACACAACTCAGAAAGGAAAATGTGAATGAAGGAGAAAGAGGGGCCTCTCCTCTTCCATTCCAATCCCCCACCCCTGAGCTGTTGATCTGTACGGTATATAAAATTTCAGTTATTACGACGAATACCATTTCCTTGCCAAACTCTAAAAAATGCAAGTGCT